TTTAATGTAAAGCAGATATTACAACAAAACAGTTGTTGAAGGCTTACGCTACATGCCGAGTTGTAAAATAAAAAGCACATTTTGAAATGTGGGATTAATAAGAAACACTGGAACAAAGAAATCAAGGAGACTTGTTAAGTCTCTGTTGACGACTTTCAGATGGAAACTGCACTTCTATGAAAGATATACTTCACTAAAGTGCAGGAATACTGAGAAAAATACTCAAGTTCTGCATAATGCAGGGAGCCAGGAAGATGGCGTAGTTGTCCACTGTGGTTTAAACTCCACGCAATGCTAGGTTAGCACCCACTCTTTCTATTTTTTGTTTGTCAGTAATATTGGACGAGGGACTTTTCTGAGTAACACCTAATCACCTTCTGAAGCTCCTGCTGTCATTCTGAACACTGATGTAACAGTATCAGGTTGCTGCAGCAGTAACATTCTGCTCTGAATGCCTGAAGCCAACAACAGGGACAGTGAAAAATTATGTATGAACATAATGTCCATAAGATGGCTTAACGTTTCTCATGCAGGAATGAGGAAAAGTGAATGAGTAGATGTTTCTACTGGCCCACTTCCCCCAGTGACCAGAACTAAAACCAAAGGCTCTTACTTAGCATGTTCTCACGTCTAACATAAATCACTGAACTAAAGATAACAAAATTAAAATAGTACACAAAATCACTAGTGGTAGAGCAAAGAGAAACACCAGCCTTTTCTGAGAACAGCAAAGGTTTGGGGACTCCTTTCACCCACAGGAAAACTGTGGGTACCATGGCAAAAGGAGAAACATAAGGGCAGTAAACGTTCATACAAAATTTAACTTGGTTCACTCAAGACATTGTCACAACAAAGATGACTTTAAACGAGTATCGTATATGTCTCAGGTTGGTTGAAGAATCAGAAATAAGTTCACTGTGTGATTCTGGATATGGCCTGAATATCATGCAGCTACTATTTCTTCTGCCATAATCATTACTTTCCTTTTCTATGTAACACTCTAAATAAGGATGCACCATATATGATGAATCATTGCATATCTTTTTTTTTTTTTGTAGAGCTACAGTAAATGCTAAGTAGTTTTTTTTGTGTAGCTAGAGAAGCATGGTAGTAAACAGAAAGCTTGTTTCACTGTAGCTCACAACCCTGTTCCTCCTTTTTTATTGCTCTGCAAAGGAAACAAGCTATATAATTCTGGAGATTGTTATTTGTACTACCTCACTGCTCACGAAGGTTGCTCTCTTCTCCTGCATAAGCCAGCTATATGCAGAACGAGAAGACATAACAAACAAGATGAGAGGAAAAGGTGTCACAATAAGTGAAGAAAGAACAGGGACTAACAAGTTTACTCTTATAAACATAACCGATACACTTGTTAAATGCTAAACTATTAATGTGTTTGTTTATTCAGAAAATAAATATTTATGCATTTTGCTACTACAGCAGTATGAACGAAGTAATATGCATAAGAATGCAATTTTTATTTATCTTCACACTAATTGTTCTCCATGACTACACTAATTCAAATTTTTAGTGAGTTTGGAATTTTCTCTGAAGCAAAGCCAAAAAACAGAGCATGTGTCCTGACACAGGATCCTTTAATGCTGCACAGATCTAGTCAAACAGCTTTCAGGGCTTCACCTCTCTCATTCTGAGTGATCTCCTTTTAGTACATTTCTGTAAACATATCACATTAGTATACACTGTTTTCTGCAAACTCTTTTGTCCTTTGGGATATCTGGAAAGCATCCCGGGAGACCAACTTGGACAGAAGACATGTCACGCACTTCTGTCATCAAGTTCCATTGCTGGCTTATTTGAGTACCATCATTTAAACGCGGAAGAACCTAAACTTCTCTCTGACACGGGAGCAAGATCATATCCCAGCATGATCATACAGTAGTAATACACTGGATCACCAAGTCACAGAAAACAACAAACTTGGTATTTTAATAATCACGTGTTGGCTCAAATGATACCCCTTAGCTCTATCTACAGTGTATACATTGGACAAAAGCTGTTACCACTTTATTTAAAATAATATATTGATCCCCCTTTACTCTTGAAATTAATAACCTGCAGTCATCGTCTATTTCAGTGATGTTTTAAATTTGTGCTTGTAAGCCAGTTTTACATATACGTGAATAAGTATTTTAAGGTTGGCATAACTTTGAACTAAAAATCTACAATTCAGTTAATCTTTATATTTATTATAATTATACAATGATATATATAATTATAATTATTTTATTTCCACAATAATTATTACATGTATTTTTACTATGTAATTTTTGATGCAGGTTATTCCTATGAGGTGAAATAAATATTACTACCCATACTGATTCCTCTTGTCTTAGTTCTCTCTATAGTGAACGCAGGGAGATAGGTGCCCACTCTGGCACAGGCTCCCACCTTTCGTATTTCTTAGTAGTTTAATATTAAACTCTGATCTTGGATGATATAATAAAATTCCACTTAAAACACTCGAAAATGAAAACACATGGCTCAGGCCAGTTCAAAGAGGGAAGAAATCCGCTGGCGTGGCTTCTTTTCTTCCCTTTCTACCTCATTTTGTACTGCCACTTACCAAAGTCACTAGTCCTAACATGACTCGTCTACATGTTTATTTGAGTTTTGGACAATATCACCATTTACTCTGTTAATTTTCCTCAGTTCCTTATATCTTGCTTTAATGTATGTTGAGAGGTCTCTAACTTACACACTTAATGATTCTCCTCTCAACTCCTTATTAATCTAAGGCTAATTCTCAAAGGAGCTGAACACTTCAAAATGTTCCTCAGATAAGTGAGAATTAAAAATTTGAATGTAACATGTACAATGTGAATGGGAAGTTTAAAAAAAAATCACTTTCTCTAAGTGTGGTGTCCAAATTGAGTAGATACTTTCAAAGGTTTTGAAGTGGGTTGTTTTCCTAATATGTTAACAATTCCAGTCTGCAAAATGGACACATTTAGGTCTGAACAATATGCTGAAGAAAAATCATCAGTTAGTTACACGCTCAATATTCTGCTTTAATCTTCAAAAGACAGTCCATGATAAAACAAAGAACTTCATATAATGTGAAAGATTTGGAGGATCTGCTGGAAGCAGAACAGAGGAATGACATCTACAATTAAATAAAAAGGAATATTTAATAGCCATTAGATGTGCACTGTCCTGTTTGTCATTACACAGAGCAGAGATCTTGTTACAAACAGTATGTTATTGTGGAATTAAATGTATTGGAAATGCAAATGCACATGGGAGTTGAATTAAGATTGCAAACTATGTTACTAATGCTCGGGCAGAGGTGGCCTGCAGAAAGAGTATTGTTGTGAGCATCTCACTGGTAGAAAGATAAAGACAGATGCTGAGGCTTTGTGGACTGCTGTTCCCATTGTTTGGCTCAAGGCAACTGTGTGCATGGCTGAGATTATAAAACAATCAGTGCTCCTGTTTTTATAGATATTGGAGTGAGACAGTAGTTATGAACAGGAAATGTCCACGATGAATGTATCAACCCCCTGATTTCCACTGCAAAATGAAAAAAAAAGAAAGCATTTCCAAATTAATTTATGCACCATTATATATAATAGTGTGTTAACTTTGAATCTTTGTCTCAAAAGATTAAGAAGTTAAAAGAGTGATGTCTCTAAAACACAGACATATTTATAACTGTTCCTAAAAGAGAACTCATAATCTGTGTGTTTCTGCAGATTCAACACTCCACAGAAAAATGCTCTCAAATATGCTAAAACTGGATATCCATAGCTTTTCAGTATTCTGGATACTTAATTGCATAACAGTAGGAGTCATAGTGATTATAAATTCCTTAACAACATGTTAATATGCTATTAAATATGCTTCAATAGTATATTCACCACGGAATTTTTCTGAACTCTCAGTCCTTACTGTGAAACTTAGTAACCTCAGCTTTCAAATTTTCATGTTCAACTTAAGCGAAATCTAGTACTATTTTTGTAACTTAAAAAACAATATAATATATAGCTTTGGGGCCTACATGCCATTACTCACTTTGTTCAAGAACTGCTCTTCTGTTATTGTTATTATTATTGCTGGAATTCTTAAACTGGCTTTTCATAACTCACTGTAGTTGAGTAAGATCAATGATGAGTAATACTAAATCCTTCCATTTCAGATAATTTAACCGAGATACTAAATATCAAGATGCCTAACCAAACCAAGAAATATTGAGAGATCCAACTTAAAAACCACAAAATAGGCACAATTTAACTCATAAAAATATTGAAATGTTTGAGTCTGAATATCGTCTCACACTTATAGGAGCAGACTAGATTATTGCATCTCAAAACTGAATTATTTCTTGTGATACCACAATCGTAAATATTCATTATCTGTTCTACTGAACTACCAAATTCAGTAAGTCAGGGAAAACAAAATCATAACACAGCAAAACCAGCCAGTCAGTTACTTCATTATATTAAAATTCTGAATAACCAAAGGTTTACTTTATATCTTGGACATAATCTCATCTCCTTCCCTCTCTTCCCCCCCATCTCTTTTCTCTGTATATATATGTTAGGGAGGGTCTGACACTTGCATAACAGCATCTACAACAAAACTTGGGTCACCAGTACCGGTTTCTGTTATTATTTTAGATAATGACCCTAAATTCGTATTTTTCTATATATCTTAGACATAGTAAGCTATTGTCTATCCCTGCCATAAAATGAAAACTTCTGACAAATTTTAATATTCTTTCACTTAAAATTACAGCAGAAACATGTTGTACTAATGACAATATCTACATCTTTGCTGCCAGTCATTAAAACACTTCAGATAGTTGAAATTGTTAAATCTCCTTCAACTGAAGAGAAATCTCAACTGTCAAAGCTCAGTTTGTTGTCTGCATGCTTCATACTCAGCTGCTACCTTTCCGTATTTTAGTAGTGCTCAGAAAGAAGTCACGCAACAAGGTCAGTTAACACACTCACCAGTTGTCCACCAAGTTTACTCACCCTTTGACCTTCTTTGCCAGGTGGACCTGGGGGACCCTCGAGCCCTGGCAAACCCTGAAAATACAAACATTAAACAAATGTAACATGGAGTGTTATTTTAATTCTCTATTGTTCTATAGAAGTAAGACTAAGCCAAAGAGCCAGATGTCAAGACAAAGTGTTTATTTCTAGTAATAAAAATAGGTTATTCATAATAACTCCTCTCAGGATAATACTATATTCAGGAGTGAGAAAAAATGCAAACAATAATTATTAATCACATTCCTCCACATAAAGGCTGAATCATTTGGGAAAGAAGAGGTAAGTCAGCACTACCTAAGCACAGCTATATTTAACTACGGTATTACATGAAAACTGATTTATCTTGTTAAGTTAGGATGCCATAAGAAAAAATAGTTGTATTGAATGACAACTTACTCTACAATTCAAATTCAAACATAGGCACTGAAGGGGGAAGGGAAGGGAAGGGAGGGGAGGGAAAGGGGACTAAATATAGCAGAAAGACTTCTGCTCGCTGTATTGTAAGAACCAGCCCTGCGCAGCTTCCTCTGTGTGCCTGGCTCGGCTTTTCGAAACCCTTCAGCGCCACTTCTCCCTCGCCCTCTCCCCCGACCAGGCGCTGGAGCTTTGGGTGTTTTGAATATGACCTCGACTTGTGAGCCTTCCTTCTGGACCCAGTGCCTTTACTGTCACAAACAGAACCACAGCCTGTTTCTGATGCTTTGGGGCTTTAATTTTATATCTGATTAATGTATGATATAACCATAAAGCCTTCAGATAACAGCTCTGTACTTAAAACAGTGCCCCCTCCCTTTACTTTATGAGTCACCTTGGAACACAATTTTTGAAAAACATTATTTCAAGGAAGCTATCCAATTTCCATTATAGCAACAAGAAATATGAAATCAGTTTCAATGTAATCAGCAAAGAGCACTGAACAGTTCTACTTTGTATAATTAAAAAAAAGTCTTGACTTTAATAGTGCATAATATTACAGGGTATCACCAAATTAAAGAAGTTACATTTAGTTTATTTAAGCATTTAAAATATTAAATTCTTAACCATTTAAATTACTCAGACTCAGGTATTGCTTCAACTTTAGTTATATCTTTGGTCAAATTCTGAACTCCTTATTTAGACTCAATTACACATATTTATTGCCCCAATATGGGTAAACTGAGGCCCCCTGATAACCACATTTTTAAAAAGTGTCCAGATTTCCAGAAATGAACTAAAAAAGTTAATTTATGAGCTCTAATTCCCAACACAAATTCGAGAAAGTAAGTGGGCATGACAAAGCTGCTAGCTTGCGTATCTTCAAGTGATGTTTTAAGTAGAATGAAGTCTGACTTCAATTTTAAACAAGAATTCATCAGTTCAAGAGTTATTCTATTCTCATCATTTTTCTTTTTTCAAACATCGAAGCTAGCTGAGTACCTCAGACTATTTCATTGTCGGATATTTCTCCTTTCACTTCAGTTCATAATGTAAACAAGATAAGGTTTGGGATCTTTTACAAAACCGATGAGCACCATTTCCATCTTTCCCCCAAAATTTATGGAACTAGAATGTCAATGACAATGTTGTGTCCAACAAATAAATCACTGTAAATTAATTATGTAGCTTCTACATGCACAAACCCATAACGCAATATGCGAATGTGACCTCTGCAAACCCTTCCTGCTTTTTCCTCGAGACAGTTTGGAACTTGCAGAGAATTCTGTCTGTTCAACTGTTAGCAATATTCTACCTTTGTAGAGAAGTTCTGGGAATTCAGGAAGAGGTGGAGTTCTGTTTTGTTAATATTTCATTTCCAATGACAACTTTATGCAAGGCAATGCGATGAAAACCTGCAACGTCTGTTTTATGGAGGAGGAAATACTTAGCCTCACATATCTGTACAATAAGCCTCCAAGGGGACAACAATTACACAAGAGTGTAACTGCACAATAATGATAATTAACAGCCAACATTTTTGTCCAAGACCTAATTTTATTCTTTTTCTTCTCTCTACAATATTATTGTCAACAAAAAGGAATCAGATAAGCAGGTTTATCTTCGAGGAAAGGGAGGAGAGCAGCTTACAATTGGTAACTAGGCAGTGAGGACTACCCTGTACAAGGAGCCACATCCTGACATTGAAACCGAGGTAAAAGTTCACACCAGCTTCAGTGGGATCTTCGGTTTAAAAAGTGATAGGACAACTTGGGCCATATTAACTAACGCGGCTGTAAAACTGTAATAACTTGGCAACAGTAATGACTTAGCAATGCTATCCCTGTTCAGCATTCACTGAATGAGATCCTGGAAAAATAACCGAAGAAGAAACCTGCAGAAGCAATGAAAAGGAAAACTCTACAGTGAAATCTGTCTAAAGAGATGACTAAAATATCCCTTGCTGAACTCATATAAAACTTGGCAATGAATGTAACAGTTTAGGGCAGAAAAGAAGTATGTATTTGCAGGAAGGCAGACCAATGCGTCTACTTAGGTCTTCTCTCTATTTAACTTCAGAACATCTCCCTTTGGAGATCAAAGATCAGATTCTCCACTCCCTGAGATCCTGGATGGCACAATGGGTAGACAAACCCCACCAAAGGAGCCCACCACTGCAGACAGAAAGGGACAGAATACAGACTGAATATATACATGTGGCCTCAAGGGATTGTGTTGAAAACATTTCTGTCAGAAGGCAATCTATTTTACACGTACCATCTTCCCAGGTATACAACATCCAAAGCAATTTAAATGATTCACTATGTGTCATCCTGATAGTCTTGCGCTGGCAAGAGGATGGGTATGGCAATGAGCAAAAGGAGGTGTAGGCCATTGCACAAGGAAAAGTGAGATATAAGAACAGCCTGTCCCTGTGGCATCAGACTGGCAGGAAAATAGATGCTACAGGTGGCCTTATATGCATGCGATTTTCCTCACTGCCACCTTTGAGGTTGGAAGGAGGTACCTGCCTCATGGAGACGCAAACTAAAATAAGATATGCAGTCTTTAGGGTTGTACCTGTCATGGACCAGGCAAGGCCCTTGGAGTTATGTGCCTGAAAGAGCTTGAGGAACATGAAGTGGAAATGTCTCCAACACTACCGTGTAGCTTGGTGGAAAAAAAAGTCAGTAAGCAGGAGATGGGCTCAGGTGCATCTGAAACTTAGAAAATGTATTACAGTGAGTGAGAATGGCTATGAACAGAGATGAAACATGATGCACAGGCAGGCACAAGAGTGTTCTACAACATCTTGAAAACAAAGTTAAGAGTGGAAACTTGTGAATTCCTTCATAAGAAGTAAACCATAAAGGGAAATGCTGGCAAGGGAAGAGACGCTAGTTGTGAAGTTAGATAAAGAAAAAGCAACCATGCACTGAAGTACATGCTGACAGATATTTAAACAAAATATCGACAGATACATAAACAAATTATTGTCAAAACTTCGATTAAGCTTTAGTTGAGGGAATACAGGAAAAAAGACAGATTTAAAAAATGCTACAGTAGAATAAGTGAGCTTTTAAAAGAACTTATATGTCATTGAAAATATGTGTAGGAATTAACATTTTAATACTTAACAGTCAATATTTGTTGCAAGTATCAGGAGATAAAGGCTAATAAGAATTATTAAACTTCAGATGGTAGAAGAAAAATGTGTTTGGAAGTGATAGAAAAATCAGCTAACAAATCAGCCAGTTAAGCTGTTTTAAGTTTCATAAGCTATCAATTTAAAGTGCATTAGCTGGCATGTAACTATCAGAAGCTGTTTATTGCAGCAGAGCTAAAATCCTGTCATGCGACCCTACAGGTACAAAAACATTTCTAATTGCCAGATACATCATGACAAGCATCCACAGAGGCATGGTGGAGGCTTGGTTCGTAAATTTAATAGCTCAGAGTAACTGCCTAAGAACACACTCTGAACAATAGCAAAGCTTTTATTGTGACTTCTTGGTGAATGAAACAAAACAAAACAGAAAAAAAAAAGTCTCAGCTGAAGTGGAAGAGTGAAGTTGTTATTCGTATCACTTCCTCTGGAAGCTTATGGCTGATGCCAAAAGAGTAAAATATTAGACAAGTAAGTATATTTTGGTATTCTGAAAGTTGCTTCAAAACATAGCTGACAGTTTTTGAAGCAGAAGGCCAGACAGCTGCCTTAGGTACTCGTGGGTAGCGTTGCTGAAACAGGTTCTGGGCACAGCAGCCTTTCCTTCTCAACACAAATTAGAAGTATAATACAAGTGCTAACATCAATAAGGCAGGTCTAATTAAGGCACAAAAACTGTTTCATTATAGACTGGTTTCTGCGTTCTACACATAAACTACTCTCCTCCATTTTTCTTCTCACTACGAATTCCAGAAAACACATGACCTCAATTTTTATTGAAGAAATGCTACTAGACAGGGAAAAAGTGTATGTAGTTTAGTGAGATAAGTCAAGAAAAGACAGAGACAAAGTCTGAATTAGGTATGCAGAAACAATCATGGCATTGTAAGAATAGGTCATTTTTTAACCATTTGAATATGTGAGCTTTTACAATGCTAAAACTTGCTACTTTAAAAAGACCCAGCTATAACAGACATGATTTGGCTTAGCAATTTGAAAATAATACTTTTATAAATAGAAAGGTATAGGTCTACTGAAACAAAATCAACACTTAAACCTTTTTACAAGTGAATTGGTGGGCAATTCCCACTGCAGGGGCTTGACCTAGTTCTTCAACACACACTTCTCACCAGGTAAAGAAAAACTGTTACACTGATGAATTACGTATACAAAGATCCCTCTGTAAAACCCACAAATAGAGCAGCATAGACTGACATAAATCTATAGTAAGGTAAAAAGCGACCATGGATTTCCGAATTCCTGACATAACACGCGAACATGGTAAAGAGCTCTAGCTTGACTGACTTGAAGAGCATTCCCCAGCCACCCAAACTCTGTTTGTGGGATGGACAGTACTGCTGTGGCTGCACTCATGCAAGAATGTCGCAGCATCGCAGGCAAGATGCATCAAGATGCAGTTCAATTAGGTCTTCAATTCATTTACTTGTCTGGA